CCCCTTGATTCTGGCTGCTGGCCATTTTCGTTCATGAAATCGTCGGATATCATCAGAAAACGCGGGATTTGTGCAGTTTTGAATAAAACCAAGTTAGCAATTATGAACAATGGTTATTAACGTAACACCTGACCCCCTCTAAAATTTTTGTTTCGCATTTTAAGGTAAGAAATCGACATTTGAAACCGACAGGGTGTCGATTTACTCGGTGCCGTGTTTCACAACTTGTTTGTTTATATACGTATAGCGGATGATTTTTATTGAAAATTAGTATTTATTGATTTTCAGCCCCCAAGTGACTGTGGTAGGGACGAGCGATCACAGATTAGAACGGCAATATGAACACTGTCCACCTCTCACAATGTATCCTGGCGTGGCGTGTTGTTTTTGTTTTGTAACTTGCAAATTCACTATCGACATTTCAACTTGTACAATAAATATATTAATTACATTGTGGAACACTCTGATAACACTTATTTTATACGTTGTTTCCAACCAAAATGGTTGAATTTCTCGAATGAATCATGTTGACAATTTTTGATTGATTTACAATATACGTTACTCCCAACAAAAATGTTTAAATTTCTTGAATGAACAGTTTTTGTAGATCATATGTTGATAATTTTTGATGAAAGATTTGCATTGTGAGATTTTTGGCGTCGATGGGTCGTCAATTTCGAAGTTTCATAAATTTTCTTACGTATCAGTCGTAGGTCGGTAGTGAAATTGACAAGAAACAAGAAAAAGGCAATTGAGACACACAGACAAATTTAGATTTAATACGAGGACGACACACAGTTTAGTGAGAAGGTAATATATATATTTTTAAACTTCACCTTTACTGGAGTCGGCTTTGCCACGTAGCGTAAAGAGACAGCATTCTTTGTTCTAAGTTGTCGAACATTGACAGTTACATTGGCTGACCGCGGTGTACTTGTCTTCGACAGCGATGCTGCTCTACGACAGTAAATCCATCCGATCTGACAGCCACCAATAACACCCATGGACATCACGGCTTCCAATGCAACTCTCTGACAAACGGCCAAAAAAACATGATTATAATTAGCACAAAACTGTGATGACAGTGCCGCCAAAGTATTGACGAGAAGACTTCACTTTTAAAAGGTGACAGTCTTTGTGCCACGCATGCGCGAGATATGTGTCTCTTACAAGCAAAGATGGCGACCAATGTTGTTCAACACAAATGTCGCACATGCGCAGCGCGACGACCACCGCCCTTTAAGGTCGTATTGCGTAAATTAGTTTTCATCCGAATTGTTACTCCCTCAATACCCAAGTTTAAATTGTTTTGATAACTTTCTTGTTAACCAACCTTTCCATTATTGGTGCATTTCCAGCCGTTTGGTGGTGTTACCATGACAATCAACTGTTTACCGGTACGGTTTACAACCATGTAGCCCGTGTCAACTAATTGTAATTCGCCATGTTGTGCCGCCACCTGCTGTACAGCCTGCAATGTAATATACAAATCACAGTCGTTTGTTGTGCCAAGCCATGTAGAATATAGAACAGAACTGAAAGGAAATGTTCAGATGCAGAGAACGAAATAAAACATAAGCTGATATTCAAACAATTCAGTAGACGTGGACACCATTCGTATACGAGATACTCAATTGTTCGAGTTACGAATATCGAGGCCCATATTTTAAAAACCACGCCCACTTTTGAGAAACCAAGCATAAATTATAACTCGATGATCAATTAAAAATTAACAGAACTTCGAGTTACGGGCGACATGAATTTTTGTTTTTGTTGAACGTCCACGTTTAGTAATTGACTCGAACTTTTATTGATAATAGTTAACCAAACTTCGAGTTACGGGCGACACAGATTTTTTATTCTGTTTAACGTTTTATGTTTCCCGTAACTTGAAGTTCAGTTAACAGTTAATTAAAATACTAAATTTGAACGTTAAACAAAACGACAAATTTATGTTGCCCGCAACTCGAAGTTCGATTAACCTTTAAAATACGAGTTACTTAATGTGGACATTCAACGAAAACAAAAATGTATATTGTATATTGTAACTGTTGAGTTACAATTTGGGCGTGGCTCCTCAGAAGTGGGCGTGGTCTCTAAACTATGGGCGTGGTCATTTTTGTAACTCTCTGTTTTCGTAACTCGAATGATTCAGCAATCATAACTAACTCTTTCGACCCGCAACACTATCACGCTTTGCTCCGCATAATATTTATGATTTAATAGTTGCCGTTTTTCTACACGTTTCTGCGATTTTTTATACTTTTTTACGTTACTTTTTTCACGATTTGTTATGTGTCGGGAAACAAAGTGCGACAAAAACGTATTGTGAGTACTAAATATCACAGAAAAAAATAATACGTTGAAACCAATGTAGTTATCTACCTCTCTATCAGCCACAGTGGCGTTCCATATATACACCTGTAGTTTCAAAACATCCGGTCTCATAAAATCTTTGATTGGGGAAGAGAAAAGACCAACGCCGACGATTTTCCAAACGTCTTCATCGTCGTTGCCATTGGATTCCACTTTCACCTGGTAACACCCTCCGTATTTGACCAGCGCCACCACGCTGTTGTCATTAACAACCATCTGTAGCTCGTGGCTGGCAAGCATTCTCCAGGTACTCTTGTCACCTATTCTGTGACTGCTGTACGCCATCTTGAATTTACTAGCTGCCACTCTTTTTGCGCAGTGCGGGATCGTCAGAAGTAATGGTTCGTTCATTTTGAGTCGAACAGGGCCAAGCCTTACTACGGGAGAGACAGTCAAAAACGGAGTATTCCCGTCATCTATTCCATAAACCATTTTATCTGCGGATTGTGAATCTGCTGATTCAATATTGACGTATAACTCCTGGACGATGTTTTCTGATATTAAAGCCTGTGGAACGTAAAGTTGGATGCCGGCGTCTTTTATATGTAAGATTCCGCCTTCTCGTCCGATGTACCCCAAACACACTGGCCAGGTGGAGAAAGTGAACGACTCCAGATAGCTGTCACCTAATTTTGACGCTTCTCGACGACATTGTTTTAACGACGATACAGCCTCTTCATGGTCTTTGATCACTAAAATAAAACGTGAAAGTAAAATAACGAAATTTAACACATTGCTTTGATTTAAGCAAATGGGTGATAGTCTTATTCGGTTGCCTGAGAGTGTCTTCTGAACATCAACTGTGGAAGTTAAAGGATGATGGTCATCCCATATCGAAAAGAACGCGACGTAACGACCACCAACCTCTATTAAGAAAGGACAATTGGTAGAATCGCCTTGAGCCTGCCTAACAAGTTTCATAGGAGAAATAAAAATCTTCAGATTTGCTAAGAATGGCTCTACTTTCTACATATCTTAGAAACGCCCGTCGGAGCAGTAAATATCACCCAGTCATACACAACAAGGAACAGTTATTATCTATTATTAAACTACACTTGTATATAATATTCTAATATTAAAATCTACTAGTGAGAAAATATCAGTTTTTCAGTACAGACCAGTCGTATTGGCGTCTAACATCCATGCATTTACGGTAGGCCCAAGTACCAGCAGTACATCTTTGGCACAGTCTATAGCAAATGAGATATGACTCAAAAGCATTCCAAATCGCCGACACTTCAAAGGCTCGGCAAGAATATACACGAGATCTTGATGGAGTGCCTCGTGGCCTCTCTCAAAACGAAGTTTCTTCTCTGTTGGCCAGTCCCTGTAGCGTTCCAACGTCTCCATGTATCTCTCGTTGTGTGTCTCAAATGCGTCTGTTTTCTTTGTCTCTTCTCGTTTCTCGAAAGCACTAAACTCTGCAAGTTGGACCAACAGAAATCCGAGCCAGTCTCGCATATCCTCGACCGCTGCATAGATATTTTCGAATTTCTTGAATGCCAGCAGGATAGCTTTTGAAGGGTACTTTTTTGTAGGATCTCTCCTTGGTGATATCAATATCTCCCTACAGTACATCGCGTCATCAAAACTAACAACTTTCGGTCTGTAAATCGGGGCATACCCTTCTTCAATTCCCATAGCAACTGCTTTAATGAAATCCTGAACATGATCATCCAAGAATGTCCGCCACTTGGCTTCGAAAAGTGTAACTGTTTTGTTTAATCTTCCAATGTTATACAGGAGACTTTTTCTATTTACTCGGGAACCCATCACTAAAAACAAAAAAATATGTAAATACTAGTAATGTTGAAAACAAACCTGTACATGCACGGTATCCCGCAGCAATAGCCTCGCTGTATAAGTTTGTGAACTTGGCCTTTATTTTATAAATCAAAATTAAGGGTAATTATATTAAAGTCAGCAAATAATAATAATAATAACAGTTTATAATCGAATTGGTTTATTTGAAAAAAGTGTAATTCAAATCCAAAATAGATTGATTTCAGCAGGTATCTCCTCATTCCGCGAAGCGCTCACACGTTATTCAGATTACTAGTATGCAATATGTAAATTAGGCAAATAACGCCGAATAAACGGCAAGGCAAATGTAAATGTCGTTTGTGCTTGTAAAGTTGAGGTTGATATATAATTTATAGCGCAGTTGCCTTATTTGTCATCATTATACCAACCTTGCAAGTTTAGCCGAATATAATTACACTAGTTACAATGACCTATAATTATTTCGCTGTGAATATCACATAACACGTGTTGCTTGTAATCGATTACACCGAACAATGAGGTCGACCGATCGTAGTAATATTCCCAAACAGTAGGCGTATCTTTGAGACAAATTATAGGTAGCCACTTGTGATCAAAACAGCAAGAGGGAAACACGACACCGTATGTCAAATATTCCGTAATGGTAGAACTAGTACACAGTTGTGTTGATTAGGTATACTGACATACTATTTTATCCTATACTATGTATGTACATATATCTCCAGGTTCATCTGAATATAGAGTCAAATAGGGTTTACAACGGGTGCCAAGTAATAACAAGCACTCTTCAGACCCCCCCCCCCTGCAGTATACATATTGACGGACACGTAGCTAGATATAGTTGGGGTGGTTGTCATGCCAGTGAGTGTGATTTATGTACAAGTAAACAAAACTAATCCGTACCTTCCTCCGCGGTACTTCACAATTTTGAACTTTGCCCGTAGCCAGATTTTGTAAGCAGATATTTTTTTTAATTTTTTGGCTGGGTAAATATATAATAAATATCAATTGTGATCGTAGTTGTTACTGTAACATGCGTGTGGAGTGTGCAATGTTTTGCTGGAGTAAAGCTGATATAGACATACATAAACACGTGTATCTAACACACTGAATAGGCCATGCAGGATAAGCTATCACGAAAAGAATTCATAATATAAACTGATGAGTCGAGATTTTTGAAAACTATTTTATTTTATCACCGCAAATGACAGCAAACAAGGTTCAACGTGTGCAATTACTTGGTATAACCCATGAATTACTTGGTATAACCCATGAATTACTTGGTATAACCCATGAATTACTTGGTATAACCCATGAATTACTTGGTATAACCCATGAATTACTTATTTTAGATTTACTGATTACGTGCACATAAGTATTGTTTATTGCAGACATCACTAAAATCAACGCAGCCATGCCTCGTCTAAATTGTGAGCATCTGAAGTCCGTAGACGACTAAGCTACAAATTTCTATTCAGGACAAGCTGTTATTTTTGGCCACGAATATATTTGATATCATCACATTGGTTCATTCATACATATATACGCCAGTTTTAATCTGACATGGTCGATGACACGTCCAGTTGCTAGAATCGTAGTGTATTATTATTCAAGTTGTGCTACCCACATTGAGGGAAGCCACTGCACACTGAGTATAGTTTGATTAAACGTCGTCTGTTGTTGTTTATTTGTTATCAACGATGTGAACTAAATAATACACTGTAATCAATATATTATTTACTAGAAATGTTTAGATAAAATACTATTTATTAAAAAAATGTTCAAAAATACTTGTATTTGCATAGTATTTTCCACGGCGACCCAATAACATTACGATTATAGACCAGCTGGATTGAATTCAATGAACTCGGGGAGGTGGGGGGGAGGGGGACTATTCTTAGGATTATAAGATTGTCCTGGAGCATAGTTTATTTCATTATGCCATGACACGCTGGTCGCCATTTATCGCAAAGCTAGCCCCAAGTAGGGATTATTCGACTCCACAGCTACATGTACTGAATGCAAGAATCTGCCCAACTTTGGTAAACGAGTCATGATAGCAACCAAGAAATCATTCACCGAGGTCAGTAGCCACAATTCAGCCATTTTGTTTATTTTAACATGTAGTGCAATAATGTTGTCATGACAGCGACAACACAACTTTGCATATACTTCATTACAGATTGATCATCTTCTATTTCGCTCGACACGTAATATTATAGTAGTTTTCATGTAAAAGTACCCAACATTTCGTTCGTCAAATTTTGTTGTCAATTTATGCAATCTGTATGTTCGATTATTCCCTTTCTCATCTCTGCAAATTGAGTTCACATATATGAATTGTTCGTAAGTGTTGTTCTGTTTATTTTTGGATCGCTTAACAGATTTCAGGATACATTTGAAGTTCTATTAATAAGTAAAATTTGTAAAAGGCAATTTGGCACAAACGGCTACATTTAGTGAATAATGTTGAACTCTATCCAGAGTAGCGACCAACGAAGCTAACTTATAGTTGAGTCAGCGTTGCATGGCATATGAATGGTGGGCGTTCGTTGTATGTATTACGAAAACTGGGAGATAGTGTACAAATCAGAGTCAGTCACTAAATTGGTCAAGTTCATGAAACATCGTTATGTTCAATCAAGTAACATGATTACTGCTACATAAAAACACACATCGGAAACTAATTCTAAAAATTAGCTTAGACTACGACGTAACCTACCTGCAATTGCAAGTCCACGATGTTAGTATGGCTACAGTCCAAGTCGTGGCGGCGCAGCTGTAACCTGAAATTGCTGCCGGTGTCGTGTGTCGTATTAAACAACTGTAGACGCCAAGCAACGTCAGTTCTTAAATAGTGACAATATGATATTGATTTCTGGGTAGCTGTTCGTGTTGTGTCGTAACCCATCGCTTTAGGCAATCAATATTATTACTTGTCAAAACAAAATCGATTTTGTTGGGGGATGTATGAGCATCACAGGTGTTATCTTGACGATTTTTACGAGACATTCCGTGAACATAGTTATCCCTCCCGGGACCCTCCATTTATCACCGTATTAAGTACCCGTACGCCATTGAAGCAGCACCGACGCCGCTGGTACCATAGATACCATAATATCCAACTTAAAGCATGACAACGGTATGCATTCATCGGTGAAACCATCAAGCCAAAGCCTAGGCCGAACTCGAATACTTACTTGACGAAATCAAACGCTTACTTAAAATCCAAAACAATACTTTAAACGTATACTAATATGGCATTGCATTATTTACGAGTTTGGACGACGCGATCCTCATGCTAATCACGCCATGTAACCGTATCGACCACCTTACAATAATGGACGGAACAAAACGCATATTTACTAAACGCGTAATTACAACCAGTTTAATGCCTCATCGCATAGTATTACATGCACTCAAGTATTCGGTATTCTTCTGATTAATTTAGAAGGTTAAACTTTATTATGTTTGGCCGGGGATCGATTGTACGATTGATGCGTCGACACAATACTACACATAGGTATTGAATAAATAGGGTCGCGGCGAGCTATTCTATTGTGAAACCCATATCCCCTCACACTTTTACGCAAACTAAATGCCTCCAAACCAATACTGTATTGGCAACCCTGTAAGCCTCGGCAACTCTGCTGAGCCTCGGTATTGCCCCCTCTGCTGAATATCAGCTACTCTGTTCTATCGCGCATATTTTGAGTCCCGGCCACTCTGCTATTCTGTTCTCGAATATTCTGGATAATTGTTAGCTTATGCCACGGTTTAACTTTGTACAATTAAACCCCGATACCAAACTAAGATTCTTGAGTTGAAATAATCACAAACTTTTTACAATAAGAAAACAGACAATTTTTCAACTAGATTGTAGGTGGTGGTTGGTTCATTCCCACAGTGTAGAGTAATGTGACGCTCGAATTGTCGAATTGTTTTGGTCTTGGTTTCCGCGCTACTTGATATATTTTGGGTTGACAATTCACGCAGTTTGCTATGTTTTTACAAGCCTTTTAGTCATCTCAGCGAAGTTTATATAAGGGATACACACCTTAACGACCCGCAAGGAATAACACTATCGAATATCGTTTACGCATGTGTGTGAAAGCCTTAACTAATATAAGTCATTACCATGTTATGTGATGCATTCATCATGTTATGTGATGCATTCATCATATTATGTGGTGCACTCATCTTATTACGTGATGCATTCATCATGTTATGTGATGCATTCATCATATTATGTGGTGCACTCATCTTATTACGTGATGCATTTTTCATGTTATGCGGTACATCCATCGTTTTAAGATGTGCATTTACCTATTATGTTACCATATTATTCATCGCGTCATGTTGTGCATTTATCGTATTATGTGATGAATTTGTCATGTTATGTAGAGCATTCGAAATGTTATGGTGTAAGTAGTTAAATGGAGCACAATAGTTAATATTTTACGGCGCCGTAAAGTTATCTTTACGCATGACATCGCCTTTGTCTTACTTCGCACTATCATTTGAATTGACTTCATATTAGTGACCATGCCAGCTATTTCCGAATTAGAAAGTTCCATCACAAAAAATTACCGCATTGGCACGGCCAGTTGGCGTGTTGGTCATGCAGCGATTTTTTTGTCACACAGCGTCGCTGGCGTTATCAACGTCCGGGTCATGATGGGTCAGGTCATGGCGTTAAAGCCACCATGTTTATTTATATGTAAAGATTAAACGTGCCTACTTTTTTGATCCATGGTTTACATGACGTAAAACTGTATGCAAACCAGTCAAATGTAGAGGCAATGTGTTTGTGCTAACATTTTATGGGTACCAAAACCACTTATTTATGAATCAAACACACCAGTTTCCCCGTGTTTTCTATATAATGGTTTTAGTCTCGCCGAGTGTTCAAAAATGTTAATTTTAATTATTTAGTCATGATAATCTATCGTACTTAAAACTATTTCAACATTTACATTATCTGTATACAA